CTTAAAGCCAAGCCTGAGCAGGAAGCCTGTGGAGTGGTCTTACCATCATCTGTCTTCTCCCCTGTGGAAGCTAGAGCACTCTCCTGGGAAAAGCAGGCACTGGTTCAATTTTTGGCTGGGTAAGAGACCCAAAACCTCAGGTTTCCTGTTTTTCTGGACAAGGGCTCTTCTCTGCTAGCCAAACTAGCACTCATCCATTGCTGGTCCTTAATCCTCAGGAGAGGACCTGATGTTCTGAATTCAGAGTGGATCGAGGTGCCTGCTGAGCAGCTCTGAACCAGAGGTCTGCTTAGACCTTTCTTTGTAGCATTAGCATTTGTGTATACAGCAAGGGATTCCTGTTGACTAGCTGCCCTAGAAAGTGGAAATCTGAATCAGTTCTCCCTAAAGACATCTGCCTCCCTTCATCAATTATTAGGGGGGCTAATTACATCATCTGGGCAGTTTGCTGGAAGCTTATTTCTTGGGCAGCGTGAACACATTCAAAACATTACATTCAATCAGCAGGATTCATTCTTTGACAACATGATCCATGATTCATGCTTTTGCATTTCTAAACCAAGAAAAATCCATACAAACAGTCTAGTAACCCAGCAGAGATGGAACTATTAAAAGCAAATCAGTAGTTGCAAAGGAGAGCACCCATGCAATGAACATAAACTAGCTTGCTAGTAACCTTTACCATTAGGATAAAATGCCCCGTTAAATTAATGACAATTGTTCATGAGCTGTCAGTTAAGTCTTCTCAGGATTATCTAGTAGAACGTACCAGGAATTAAGAAACAGCATTTTCATCTTTTGCCTAATGAGGAAAAGTGAGAAATAGTGTAATCATCTAATTTCTAGCAAACAACCACACTACTTTCACTAATAACAGGAGACGCAGAAAATATCTCCAGAGAGAAGAGAACATCTTACCACTTACGCTGCTTTACGTCAATAACACCACGGACTTGCATGGAATTATTCTCAATTTACTCCTTGTTCCAGCTTAGGAAGGGGATTCAGACGTAAAGAGAGTAGGATTTACTTGCTAGTAAATACTGTTCTAAAAAATGAGAGGATGTACCCACCATGTTTATTCTGAGTTGATGCCATATGCTCTTTGTCTCATGTAAAATTCAGAAGGTTGTGAATAACCAGAAACCTGTCTGTTCCCATAGGCAAAGACTCTCCCTGCTGCTGAGTTCCAGTCAGTAAGCAGTCAGATTCACCTCCCAGAGCCCCATAGTCTTTCCTTGCATGCATTTCTGGACATAATAAGACCCTCTGCCTTCAGCACAAGATGAGCGTGTTATGGGAAATCAGCACGAAGGAATGCAGTTCTGTCTGCTGGTCCCCTACACGTTTTCCACAGGCTGAGTCTCAGAAAAACACTTACTCCGTAGTCGTAAAACTCAACAACAGTCAGCTCTGAGTTTAAAAAACAGGTTTGGTTTCAAATGCGTCATAAAAAAACCCCTACACATTTTCCACAGGCTGAGTCTCCTGTGGAAAACACTTACTCCCTATTCGTAAAACTCAACAACAGTCAGCTCTGAGTTTAAAAAACTGGTTTGGTTTCAAATGCGTCATAAAAAAACTTCTACTTTGTTCGAAGAAAAGCAATTTGTATTCATGTTTACGTAGGAGGACTAGATATGTTTCCAAAGAGGTAATCCCAGATGTCCGTATGTTCACACTAGACTTATATTCCAACTTAAGGTATTTATAAGCATGTCTTGCAGGCAGGCGCGGTTGAGGTAAGTGGAAGCAGAGTGGCTAATGAAAACAGGAGAGAAATATCAATAACATTTCAAGGATTTACCCTGAAGGTTGTAACTGTACTATTAGGTTTTTGTACCTATGGATACAGAAGGGGTAGTGTCATTTTGGGCATCTAAAACCAAGCAGAGGCTGTTAATTAAATGGTTTTCAGCTGCTTCCTGATGATAAAGATGTACATTCTACAGGTAAAAAGATTAATTCATAGAGGCATCACATCATCAGAATCTGCTTTGTATTTCTACCTCAAGTATGCTTGAATGTTTTTTTCCACTTCAGAAAACCTTTTAGACAATACTTCATTTGAAACTCGGCTCCGTGAACTGAGAATTTTAAACCATTGTTTTCGATGACATTTTATTTCTGTGAGTGAAATGCATTTCAAGTTACAAACTCTAGAGTGTCAGGAAAAATAGCTTTAGTTCCTGGGATCCTGATCCTCTCTTTTGTATTGTTGCTGTTACTAGTAAAAGAATTAAGAAAAACAACACTACTCAGCTCCTGTAGAGAACTTTCAATTTTAAAGCGCAATAGGAAATAATTAAATCCTAATTAATTCATTTTCCACAGTAATTACTATGTTGTACCTTGTTATTATCCTCATTTTACAACTAGGAACAAAAGAAATAATTGGCCCAGGGCATGCTTTCCCATTTTCTTCAAAAGGATCAGACCATCTCTGAAGCCAGTGCCGTTGGTGGGAACTGAGCCGGTGAGGACCTGCACACCTGATGGCGTTGTGGTGGCTTTCAGATCCTTCCCTGCCATGGGGCTGCAGTTCCTCAGCCGCTGCTTCTCTAAGATTGACTTTGGAAAGCTGCACTCTCGTCTCTGTGTGAAACAGAAAGAGGCTTTCGCTTTGTCTCCTTCCTCTTTTTCCTTTAGGGCTGATAATTTCATGAGAGATCTGTTTATTGTAAGTACTCCCTGTCAGGTTTGATGCTAGATGTGAAGTTATGTGATACGTGAAAGTTTAGGTCCTACACTTAGACCTACAGGAGGTCTGGTATGATTCACAGACCTGAGTCCTGGTAGATGCTTGTCCTGAAGATATTTGGGAGCAAGCACTGGAAGTGAGGAGAAGTCCTGCTTGGAGCACCTAAAGATTTCTTACCGTCTTTCTTCACTATTGCTGGGATCCACAGAAATGGAAATACAAATTAAAACTACTCACTTGCATAAAGTCCTTTTGCCCATCACTTTACGAGATCCCTGATTTGCAGTTATAATTTCTGAGTCCCTGTGTAATGTATGTTAGGAAGCTCCAATCAGCTGGATATCCTCACAGGGACTTGAGATGTCTCAGTGCTCAACCTGCTGCAGTGTGCATCAGCCATTCCCTTTCATGAGATGTAAAAGGCTGTGAAATCTGTAGCTTTTTTTTTTCAGAACCTGTGTCATAATTTCAGTTTCTTTACTACTGTATCTTATTTAAATTCCCAACTTTGGATTCCTCATTATACTTCTGCTACTAATGAATCAACCTTCATTTAACAGAGCTACTTTGAATAGCATCCATATTGCATGGAAGTCTAACACAGAAACTTACTTTTATAGTCTTTCATATGAATAGTTATGTGCTTTAAAGCTGTGGTAGTAAAATTAATTGTCATAAATAATTCATCCCATGAAAGGACAGAATAACTGTTAGTTTTGTATTTAAAATAGTCTGAAAAGGGGAGGAGGGAAGGTTACTCTGGTTTTGTTTACATTGAGGTAGGAGAGAGCTGCTCTCCCACTGACAGTTATTTAAAAAAAAATAGATTACAAGGTTAATTGTTTCAAAATCTAATAGATACTCATTGAAAATTACCAGAGTTTGTATTTTCAGGGTTTGGTTTGTAGTTTGTGTCCTCATGTCTCCAATCATCTACAATATGTGTAAAAATAATTCGATTTTCTTTAAAACCCTGTTTAATTTTCAGTAATGATAAAGAAGCCCCCATCCTGCTTGCTAGTGCTGCTTACCAGACTGTCCTTTATGTTTAGGCTCTGCTTTTCAGCCACTTCCTCATCTCCAGGTTGTACTCAGGCAGTGACCTCCTTTGTACAGGCTAGTGACCATCACCCCACTTTTGAAAAGCTGTAGTTGTTCCTTTTGACTTCAGAGGAACCTTTTAGTGCTCAGACTGCCAGGAGAAAAGGCCAGACTGTACTGGAGGTTGTGTTCCCTCAAATAACAGGAACTCAGCTAGGTGGGATTAATTTCTTTTTAAAACTTGGTTATTAATTTTCCTAATTGCCCACCTGTGAGGTCCTGACTATTCAGTCCAGTTGTCTTTAGGCAGTTTAACATCCTTGGGCAGAGGGACCTAGATATAGAGGGTATTCAGAATAATAATTGGTTTGTTCTGGTCCTCAATAGCAATGAATTAATAACAACCGTATAATGAACATAAAGCTATAAATCAGTTCCTTCTTTACTCAGAAGTAGTTAAATATATGTAGATGTTTTGGCGATATTTTTGTATAGCTGAAATTTGACTGTCAAATTACATAGTATCAAGCTGAACAAAGTTATTCTGTAGATGGGAAGGATCATGAGAAAATGTCTATGTAGCATTCTTGAGCGTCCACCATCATTTGTAATGTAACCAGATTGTGCCATTTCTAGAATAGTGAGCTAATATTTTACTAATATTAGTTAAAATCTGAGTATGGGGATGGGTGTGAGATGAAACAGTGCTTACCACACAGGCCAAAAAGGATAAGGGAAATTAAAATCCTCCTAGCTGCCACAGCCAACCTCTTGAAAAGTGCACTGAAGGTTGGGTGAGATTTAGAGAAGCAGAGAAAGCATTTTAAGAAACTGGATCCTAGAACAGATCTGTTTTCATCTGGTCCTAGGCATCAGCTAACTTCATAGTGGCTGCTGGATTTTCAATACCACCTTACTTAAAGGCTTTTTAGATGGAAACCATACGACCCTTTTCCTTCAGAATATGAGACATTTATATTATACTTTTTAAAACGATTTTAATTTTAGCTAGGGAAACCTTCTGGTGTCAATGCCAATGGTGAACGTAGTCTTGGGAGGGTTTCTGAGGTGAGGTAAAATTTTTTCACTTCACTTTTTCCTTAGTATTTCAGGTGAAACGAATCTTCATGTAAGACAAACAAGCTGTATGTACGCTATGTGTAGCATATCTGAGCCTCACCTAATACTGGAATTGCTGAGTCCTGTAGTGCTGGGTAGTCAACTTAATCACAGACCTCTTGAATTGCTCTTCCCACAGATCTGCACGCCGGATTTGGTGGTGTTTCTGGCATGTTCCAGTCAGAAGCTGAAGGAAAGGTTACTGAAGCGTGCTGAACAGCAAGGGAGACCTGATGATAACCTGAAAGCCACTCAAAGACGACTGATGAATTTCAAGCAGAACGCCGTCCCATTGGTTAAATATTTCCAGGAAAAAGGGCTAATCATCACAGTAAGTCCTTTAGTACATGCCTCTAAAAACGTAATTGCTGTTATGGTCCTACCTGGCTTCTTAGACCTTTTTGCTTCAAGAGCGGCTAGATGAGTAAAATTATGTTTTAGGTGTACACCGTGGTTACTGAAAGCAAACCTTCCGTTTGCTGGGAGAGTATTTTCTGCAAAATGCAGGAACACAGAGCAAGATTCATGAACACGTAGATGCCATGGTAGGCACCACGTCAGTTCTTTGCTGCAGGCATAAATTGCTTTGCCAGCTAGTTGCAAACTCTGCTCAGAAATAATTTGCATGAAAGAAGAGCTTGCTTTGAAGCACTGATTGCTATTCCAGTGCCAGCAGTTTCATCCCTTGCAAATAGTCATGTACTTTTTGGATGGTTGTCTTGAGAGGGGGGGAAAGCAGAAAAACCACATTCTAACAGAAAGCAATACAGGATCTTCAAGGAATAAAAGGCTGTTGACGGACTCCAGTAAATAAAGTAAATAGAAGTAAATAAAAAGTCCTTATACTATCTTACCATGGTTTAAATGTGCCTTGTTATGTGTTCTCTTACAAGGTTTAAAATTTCAGATAGAAATTTTGAAGACAAGAAAATTGCTTTGTAAATAGCCCACTGGGATATCAACAAGAATACTGATTTCTGCAATATTTGGGGCAAGAGAGTACATCATTGAACACAGAACATACCAAAACCTGCATTCATAAATAAAGCCAGGAGTACTTTGTGGAAGTTGGGCTGGCAAGCACTGCTGAAGTATTTCAGTGCTTAACAGTGACAAATTGAACGAGCAGTTGACAACGGTTGAATTATTGACGTGTTCTGAGTTACGGACCATGTCTGGTTGTAACTGCACAGAACTTGGTACCACATATGGTACCGTGAGAGCACAGATGGCCTATTTTGTTTCTTTTTATAGCCTGAATAACCTAGGTAGTTCACATTGGGATGTTCTGCCCACGGCAAATATGACTACTTCTATGTGCGGGTCAGGTTCATTACCAAAGCATCCTTAATTGCAAAGTCATCTAATGATGTTGACAGCCTTAATGATGTACTTCAGCATTTTGCTGAATTTCCAAATGAAAATCCCAGGAAACTATTGCATTGTTTCCTCCAGAGAGTATCTGTTCTGTTTGAGGATTTTCATCAACTCTGGAAGGATGGGAGGACTGGAATTCTTGGAAGTCGTTCTTCATTATGGAGGAAGTGTGTGCTTTGTGACATTTCTATAGCCTTTACAAGTGTGCTTCCTATGGAAAGCATACTTAGCTCTTCAGGGAAATTGTGTTTGCAGATAAAACATGTAGGGCATCTGGATAGAATTCCTTTTCTGTGATAGGACCTGTATAAGAGAAGGTGTTTTTCCTATTCAGGTTTTGTTTTCTACTTTTTAGCTCCATTTCTTGAGAGTTCTAAAGAGAATTTAAATTGCAACGTTCACCTTAGAGATCTCTTTTCTTTTTGAAGAAAGCAGATGTTTGTGGTGGGGATGCAAATAGTAACATAGCACATGAACATTATATTGCTGTCCACTACAGGACAAGGAAACCGCATATGCAGAAATTACTGACTGGCAACATGTCAAAAAAGTATGCGATAGGAAAAAACTTAGTAAGGTTTGAATTTATTCCCTAGCTACGTGGTATCTACTTGAAGTGTGTTAATATAATTTCATAGAGATCCTGAAATCTTCCTAGATTTAGTTGGTGTAGACACGAAGAGAATCAGACTTCGGAAGGGAGGCTCTGTGGCTCACCTGTCATTAGAGCTGCCACAGGGCAGTTGGGTTTCCCTTGTTGCAAAAGCAGGATGCATTGGTAAAGCCTGAGAGTCAGATGCATGAGTAATCTCATGGCCAGTGGAAAGAAGGATCCCTTTTTGTAGATGGTAAAGGCTAAATATGGCAAACCTCATTTCCATGGAATTTGATTGCACATGGAAGATACATTTTCCAGTTGCCTAAGGCAACTAAGTTAGTGGGGGATAAATGAGAGAAAGGAGTCATAAAAAGAGATGCAGCATGCCTAGTGCAGAGCAAGTAAGGAACTGAATATTTCCACAAAAGGACATTTTTTAAAACCAAATAACCTTGAAACAGAAAACAAAAGCTAAGTCCGCATAGAAAACTTTACACTATTAGAACAAGTTGTAAAATTTAAAAGTGTTTTTAAAAACGGTTATTTTGTCATCGTGTGTTCCTTTTCTTAGTGCTCAATTTATAGATCACCATTATTTGTAGAGTTTTAACGTTCTTCTGACAGCATAATTTCTTTTTATGTGTTCATTTTGTTTAAAATCCATTTGTCCAATGGGAAATCTGGTTCTGCCAACTTCCTGCCCTATTCCTTTAAGCAATCATCAGTGGAGATATCAAATGTTTTCTTCCTGCAAATGGCTTTGATCCCATTGTCTTCACTGATGAACTTGAGCTTTCTTTCGGTTTTGAATAAAACAAAGCCCAAACAAATCATATAATATATGATATCATATATAATTCATAGCTTTTCATCAGTGGAAAAGACAGAGTTTTCCTAGAAAGCCGTAGGATCCAGGAACCATTGCATTCTTCATCTTCATCACCACCTTCTCCTGGTGGAAGCCTTGTATCTCCAACTTGCCTTTACTAGTATGTATCTGTATAATACACGTGTAATATTAACACTTCTAGGTATATTTGGGGCACTTGTGCATGCTATTGCCCTACAGAAGGAGGAAGCAAGAAAAAAAATTGCATTTATCCTGCTAATTATAACATTGAACCTGGAAGGCACTGAAATGTGATATGGATGAGAGCAGTGTAAGAACTAGAACAGCATAAAATAGAATTACAGTAGCCTGATTCCTAGAGGAGTCAATCCTTGAGGCAAGGTCAGTGTTGACCAGGAGGGAAAAACAGGTTTACATTTTGCTTAAATCCCTGCCTGCACCGTGTCACTGCTATTCAAAGCTCTAAATCTCAGACATTTCTTCTACCCAGCATCACAGTTCTACCCAGGGAAAAGAAACAGAACCATTTGTCTTATGGAGAATTATATTTTTAGAACCACAGCTCAAATTTTAAACATCTACTTAAATATGTTGTTCTTCATCAATAAACAGACCAAAAGAGAAAAGAAAAATAACACTGGAAGCTAACTAAATATCACTAGTGAGCAGATATTTCATAGAATTATATTCTACTGCTAGACACTGTATGAGCAAGAAAGTAAAAGTCTACATTCCCAAAGAATATTAATTTTCCTGCTCCAACAGTTATTCCGTACTGGTTTTAGCGTATTTTGGTTAATGGAATTAAACAAACACATCCTTCACTTCAGATCTCATTGGTTACCTTGCTTAGGGGTAATTCTTTCCCTTCCCTCTTGTTTTTCCCTTGATCTTTGTTAATTTTATGGAGTACATAGCTTATACTTGTTTGCTGCTCTGTATTCCTTACGTTTTCAGTCTGTGCATGGTATCCCTGCTCTTAGAGTCTGATCCTGGTTCTGTTTTCAAGGAGAGAAGTGAGGGCCCCACCTACAGTTCTTCTTAGAAACAGAAAGATGTAACTCTTGTCCTTTCCGCAAAACTCCTTTGGAATAATGAAGTTGGAATATCCAAGATTTTGGATTGTAAATGAGAAGTAAATGTCTGATATTTTCATGAACACACAGTCTGTGTTTCAGATTCTTGTCAGCAATCTGTCAGTAGGTCTGACAAATCAAAACCTGACTTCAGTCAAATTTAATTTCAGAAAGTATCAATACTGTAGTAATAGACACCACAATATTGGACATGGAGTATATAAATAGATACATATGCTGGCATTTATTCTATCAGTAGCTTTTAAAAAAATCTTAGAACATTATGTATTGGAATGTATATATCTGGAATTATATAGCATTATACACATTATACAACTGGAATACTGTGTGCAATTCTGGGCTTCCCCATTCAAGAGGGACAAGAAACTGCCAGAGAGAGTCCACTGTAGAGCCACAAAGATGATGAGGGGACTGGAGCATCTCCCTTATGAGGAAAGGCTGAGAGAGCTGGGGCTGTTCAGCCTGGAGGAGACTGAAGGGGGGCATCTCATTAATTCTTATCAATATCTAAAGGGCAGATGTCAGGAAGATGGGACCAGACACTTCTCGGTTGTGCCCAGTGACAGGACAAGGGGCAATGGTCACTAAGTAGTACACAGGAGGTTCAACCTAAACATAAGGACAAACTTTGTCAGTGTGAGGGTGCCAGAGCATGGCCCAGGCTGCCCAGAGAGGTTGTGGAGTCTCCTTCTCTGGAGACATTCAAAACCCGGCTGGCTGTGTTCATGTGTGATGTTCTCTAGGTCTGCTGTAGCAGGGGCTTGAACTGGACGATCTTCAGAGGCCCCTTCCGACCCTCACCGTTCTGTGGTTCTGTGTGGTTCTGTTTATGTAGACAGTAACTAAGCCACAAATACTGGGAGTGTGGTGGTGGGGGAGGGATGTTACTTAGATTAAACTATAAAAGGGAGAAAATGTGAATGCAGAGATGATCAGCAAGTACTCCAGCATTTAGCAGAGGACTTCAGTTCTGAACACAGTGTAAGCCATTCCCGTATCCTTCCTGCCATCTAGCAAATAGGAGGATGTGACTATATTCGGTCTCAGGTGCTGACATGACCGTTGGTACGTGTCCACAGCCGGGCCAAGACCACTACTGAGTGGTGAACATGAGTAGAGAACTTCAAAATAAAAAGGTCTGCGTATGCAAACTTCTAGACAGTGCTTGCCGTTCAATTAAAAATACTTAGGTTGTTTGTATCATTCATCTATGAGAACCATTGTTAGGTACTTTGTTACTTGGGCAGTAGTACTCCTAGAGATACAGTATTGTATCATTTCACTTCCTAACATTTTATAAGAGTTTCCCTATATTTTTTTAAATTAGATAATAATGAAAGAGTAAGGCAAAGAAATAAAAAAACCCTAATGTTAAATGTTTTAATGTGGTTGCTAGCTTGCTCTGAAGA